AACATTTTTTTCCTAATTAAATAAATTTCTCCTAATTAAATAAGTAAATTTTACATATTTAATAAATACATACAGATTATGTTTACTTATTATACTTTAACATATTTGCTTAAACCATTTTAATAATTTTACATTTTATATTTATCAAGGTCAATTTATCATTAACATAACAAAAACATGTGATAACAAACATAACAAACATTAAATTTGTAGATTACTTAATACAAAGCTTTAGCAAATTTTTTCACAAAAATACTCAAATCTACCAACCGTATAGCTTTGTTTGCGATTGTTTCGTCTACAGATCTCGTCGGATAGAAGCGAAACTTGTGAAATCGTGAAGTACGACGGAGATAAGATAATGACAACGAATACTTTGGATAAATCCGATATCGAGATCCGATCTCGAGATAGTCGTCAATCGGGAGCCCGAAATGAATCCGCGTATCTCGAACGACGCGATCGCAAATGAACACGTCGCTTTGCATCTGCGGAAGGAAATTTAATCGATCGGGCGCGTGATAAAAATGATACTTATTTATCTTAGGAAAGCGATCGAAACGAAAACTCCATCGCATCGACGAGATCTTTCGGCAGCGCGGGGCAGGCGATGCGTTCACCAAGAGAAGAAAAGAACCGCGAACGAATCGTGTCGCGGACACGCACACACGCGCATTCCTTCCAAAGTATCAAAAGCAACGTGAGAACAGTAGTCACGTTCCATGGGATTATCACACCGGTCGAAAGTGTTTCGAGCCGTAACCGTAACGTTATAGCGGGCTATCGGTGAAATCCAATCGCGGTATATTAATTACGCACCGGCGCGCGTTTTTATTTCCTGTTTTTTTTTTTTTTTTTGTATTTGTACGTGTCGACTCATCGAGGAATACGAGTGCGATAAAACTGATTCCAATTATACTATTACGACATGCATGCGTGCATGCCGCACGTTGCGTATGCCACCGACGACGATAACGCATTCGTCGAAGAGACAAGGAGAAGTAAGTTATCATCCACGCTCCGTTGCAAATTTCATCTCCGTGCGATCGCGCAAAGTCCTCTGGATGTCGGTAAAAAGATAATTAGTCGGACCACGAACAATACGGACGAAATAATAATAAAAAAAAAAAAAATAAAAAAATAAAAAAAAAACGAGTCTATCGAGAGCCGTATATCCTAACAAGCGATGGGAAGTTTCCCACGATACCGCGAAAGGGTTGATATTATCTCCCATTGTACGCGGAAACTCGGATGCGCTCGAAATAGGGAATAATGCCGACCGAGAGATTATTAAGATGTCAGATCAATCGTGTTACATCGGACGGAGATATGAAGGCTGACGTACTGAAAACCGGGAGGCTCGAGTGATTAATCGAAAGGTCTCTTTCCTTTTCTTCAGGCCGATTGCGAGCAGACGTGAACACGTGTAACGTCGCTATCGCACAGTCGAGCGAGCATCCGCCGAGACGAGAGAACGCGAGTTCTCTTATCAAAATCGAGGAGTGACGATCAGGCAACGAGGAGGGCTCATCCAGTGTTATTGTTGTGATTCGAAACCGGCGCAGCGCGGTCCGAAACAGATCGGGCGAGCTACGTAATGCAGCGATAGTAAGGCGATATAACAGTGAGCCAATCATGAAATTACTATGTCAAACTGATAGAATTATTGTAGCTGATAAAACCCTGTAGCTGATAAAACCCTGCTTCAATGGCATTTATCGCGACGATTCAAGGATGCGAGACAATTAGGCGCGCATTATCGCGATGACGCGCGGGACGAAACCTAAGGAATTTGCTGGCTTCGCTTTCGAAATTTTATTGTGTAACATTTTGCAAAATGATTCTTTTCACCGTGTTTAATTATTGGAATGCACTAATGGGCTGCATGGGATACATAAACGGAATTCACAGAAATTGCATTGGACGTTAAACACACGCGGTGGATAATCTTTGACTAAATAATCTCTTGCTACAAAGTAATTTTTGCGTGATTACCGCGATTAGTCTGATTAGAGAGATTATATAAAATTACATTTATGAAAGACACACCAGCGGTGTAAAATAATGATGTGATAATACACACGTCACTATCGATTCTGATTAGAATTATCGCGTATCGGTTGCTGCGAGACCCATATCTAATTAGAACTTTTAATTTGAATCGTCACAAATATTGATTTCGTCTTTTGAGTTGAGTTGAATTTGATATCTTTCCATTTTGGTAAGGTATTTTGCGAATGCAAAACGAGAAAACTTAAAATATTCCGTTCTGCGGATCCATTTAAAGCCACCATATCAAGTGAAATTCACCGAATTTGCGCCCACGTAAGACCAATTCTTGTCGAACGCTAAGCGTCTTCGAGCCTGGCGCCGCGAGAGAGAAAGAGAGAAAGAGAGCTAGAGTGACGTCGATTCGCGCGGGGGTGGAGGGGGGAAGGAGGCAAGGGGGATGATCGCCGGGAGGAGCGAAGCGGGAGTACGTTGATAGCGTACCAGCTGTGCGCAGAAAGGAAGGTTAGGTTAGGAATGGCGTTTGGGGGTCGCGGGGTCAACCCCGCGGGATCGAACGATCCGACGCGCGATCATGGTGCAACGGGAACGCGTGACGCACGCACGCACGCACGCACGCACGTAAGCGACGTACAAACATACGAGAGCCAGCAAAGGTACTCACCTCGTTGAAGGCCATCTTCTTCGCTATGCTTCCGGACTCGCGGCTGCTTCCGGCGCCTCCTTGCCCCACCGCTCCAACGGAAAAGTATCCTCGCAGGTAGCTGCCGGGCTAGTAGTCCCAGCAGCAGTAGCAGCAGCAACAGTAGCAGCTGATTCCGCCGGGCGTCCAGAGGGGATGGTCCTCCAGGGGAGGGCGACAGCGCATCGAGGTCGCCGATGGCACTCGCGACGCGACGGGAACGCGGACGGCAACGTGAACGACGGAGACACTCGCGGCGACCGACCCGTCTGACAGACGACCTCCGCGACACACATACGTCACGGGAGAGTAGCGACCGCGATCACCTTCTCGCGAGGGGAATCCCCACGAGAACACACGCACTCCGTGTCGTTTTTATTATATTCCTTGTCTTTCCCTTCCCTTCGCCTTTTCTTTCTCTTTGCTTTTCAACGGCTTCTCCTCGCTCTCACTTCTCGTCGCTTACGGCACGTCGCGCTACCGATCCGCCGCCGATCTACCGGGCGGATCGCAGCTGATCTGGCATTCCTCAGGTGGGCACCGTTCGCGGGAGCGCCTTCCTGGAGCCGCGACCTGGATCGCGGACGAAACAGGCGCGGGTGGTCACGCGCCGACCCGCAACTTTGCTACGCGGACGGATAACAGAGACCGTGACGACGAGAATGACGACGACGACGACGATGACGACGACGACGACGATGACGATGATGACGACGGCGACGACGACGGCGACGACGGCGATGGTGATGGGGACACGACACAGGGAACACGGACACTGACGCGTTCACGCGACGTTACAGCGGCGCGTGGCGATGTCAATGTCAACCGCGGACGGGATGCGGGCAATCAACGACAACTGACGCACCGATCGCACGATCGTCCGCGACAGTTTCTCGGCACTGCTCCTTTTTTCCTTCTCCCCTTTTTTCCTCCTCGCGCGTATTTATATCCACGGCAGAAGTATCCGCAAACAGACGGGCGCCATCTTGCTTTCTGGCATTCGCCAGCGGAACGGACCGGAATGGCGCGACGGCAAATAGCGGGATAGACGGACGGACGAACGGACGGACAGGCACGGCACAGCTGTCAGCGTCAAGCGCCAAGGGAGAGATTGCCCGGCAGTGCTGCCGCGCGCGGCGCTGAATCGGCGGAACGCACCGGAATTGGACCGGCGAACGCGCGTTCGAATCGGCGCGCGCGCTCGCAACCTTAGAAACGGCGCGGGACACGTTGATGACTTCAGACCGCTCCGAACGTGCGAACTCCAACAGAGCGAGTTAAGATGTTAATTGGTCTGTTTTTTGTAGCTACCGGTGTATACTTGTTGTACTTAAAATGAAGTAGATATATATTTGAAATTTAACAAAAGCAAGCTAAAAAGTTTTAATGCGATCCAATGAAACAGAAACAAATGTGTGAACAGAAACAAGTCTAATTAATAGCCGATTACAGATGCGCGCCTGTCTCCTAAATCACGCTTTTACTTGCGATACATATTATAATTATTAACCGATTGATTTTTCGTCAATATCTTATGTCGATCAATTGATCAATGAGAATTAATTTTTAGGATCGTGGACACAAGGCTTTACATCAGCAAAATAATCGAAGCTCAATTTTCAATATATTTTTTTTTAGTTTTATTTTTTATCGAATCTATATTAACGTTATATTCAATGATTTCCTAAAGATATTTTATGACAATGTATAAAATAACAAATTTCATCAAATGGTGTAATTTTCTCCTTCGTGACTAATATTGCGACGCTAATAAAGTGTAGCTGTTTGAGGAATCTCATTCTCTCCTCGTCCCTCTTTTTTTGTTTTC